CCTTACTCTTGCCGGGACTCTCGCACTGGAGACTCGCCGCACCTGTTTGCACGGTTTCGGTTTTAACTCCTTGGCTTGCAGACTACCCAAGAATGCAGCTTGAGTCGCTAGTTCTGCGTGCGACTCACAAGGACGTGTCCGAGATGGGTTTGTGTGGGTCAAGCTTGCATTGGCTGCAGCCAAGGATGCTGAATTCGGGCAATCTCTCGTGGGCAGACACCGTCACGAATGTGGCCTTCATGCAATGGCACACCCCCACGCAAAAGCCCTGAACCCGCAGGAGCGCCAACACCCCCAAACCCCCAAACTGAACGCCCAAAAGAAGTTACGTAACATGGGGGATCTGAAGGCACAACAGGCTTGGGCAATAACAGACGGGATGCTGCGTCACCAGGCGATGCTCATCTCCCTCGGCTTGACGTCTGCAATCCTCACAACGCTGGGATAGTTGCAGAGGTGTCGGAAGAGAGTGCTCTTCACATCGCCACTTTCACTCTGACTGGTACGCGGCTAAATAGGGCGAGACATACGCAACGCAAGGCTCAACATGAGAGGGGGAAATGTGAATAAAGATGAAGAAGGAGGAGACAATAGCATGCTAAGAACCAGTAGTCGCAGCAGGCGACGACATTACTACGAAGACATGAGGGCTCTCGGATCCTGCAGACGGTGCTGACGAAGATGGTGATGCGGCGGTGGTGGTGGCAGTGGTATGCTGGCGATATCGAGCGCTGACAGTGTTGCTGATAGTATGGACAATGGCGATGGTGACGCCGATGTTCGTTCCCTGGTGACGCACGTATTGACGATGGAGATGCTTATGACGATGATGTCACTGTTGTTGCTGCTGATGATGGCTGTGATGATTATCTGATTATCATTATAACGAGGATGACGATGACGATGTTCTTGATAGTGAAGAAGATGACGACATCGATCATGTTGATGATCCTAGCGACGACGGCGATGCGATGTAAATCATGCATCTTGCAGATGACCCGGATGCTGAAGGACGATGGTTCCTGCATAAGCTTCTATCGGCGGTGTTACATTCTCACGGCCTCGCGGCTCGTGTGAGTGCTCTCCGTTTTGCCAATCCCCCCATACCATTACCCGAGCCAGCAGAGAGCGGCAGCGGACGGTCGTCGTAGACATTGCATCATAAATTAGGGTTCGGTATACAAGACCTGTCAAGGCACCAACCCCATTCCGTATTTGTTCCCTGGCTTCGTCGGCTGTTAGGTCTGCCGCGGTAGCTCCTGATGCTTGTTTTAGATTTTAGGTGGCGAGTCTTGAAGGTTGTTTTGCACATACTTTCGCGGCTGTGACAGCGGACCAGGCCCTGCTACGATTAGAGGGATCTCTCTTTCTCTATCTCTCTCTCTCTCTCGCTCTTTTTCTTTTGCTTGTCTTCACGACATGGCCAAGGCATCCCCAGCCTACCCTGTCATATGAAGCACTCTTCGCGCTGCCCCTCCTGCTTGGCCTCGACCATTTCGGGTTGCTTGGGCATTGTTTGGGGATGCTCGGAGCAGGTGACTGCATCTTCCAACCTGGGCTCTGACCCTTTGTAACCCTGCAAATGGGGGTTTCCGAAAATAGGGGACCCTAATATAGTACCCTAAACAGTAGGATCCTTATTATAAGGACCCGAAAATACGGTTCCGCAATTTTCGGAAACTCCCAAATCAGGGGCTGAAGGAAACAGGATACCACAGGATGTGTTCGGTAATTTGTACGATGATCGCACTTCTCATCCCATCTCGCCGGCACCTAGCCACAGCCAGCAGGGTTCAGGGTTCAGGGTTTCCCTAGGGTACCCCGTGCCTAGAGACAGTGAGCAGATGTAGGCACCAGCTCTGAGTGCCGTGTTTTTCCCAGCTTTTCGATAGCTCACGGATAGGCTCCCGCGCTTGAAGCTGCGGATGGCCTGAAGTGGGAGCTTCTGAAATCGAGGGATTTTACGGGACTCTTTTTGGGATGTCATGCTGTCCCGAAAGTAGGAGCCTACTTCTTAGATATCTAGTTTCCGGTTGAGTCAGGGTCTCTGCTTTCTGAAGCTCCCTACCTTAAGAACCCAAAACCCACCTTTTTGTAGGTTCTTATTATAAACCCTAATATGGGATTTATAGGGACCCTACAAAAAAGTAGGTTTTGGGTTCTTAAGGTATAGTATTCAAGGATCAAGCGGCCTGCGAGCTGCCACCTACCCTGCTCTGCCGAGCGCGGGGTGTTAACGAAGACAATGCTAACGCGAGGCGCGCGCGCCCTTTTCCGAGGTAGCCTCCGGGCTCGGGCGTTGCGAGCTGTATCTGTCATATTATAGTTGTAGTTATATAGTTATATAGTCTGTTATATAGCTATATAGATATAGTTATATAGTTATAGTGGTGCCTTTGCCTGTCTGTTATTCCGTTGGGCTTGCCGACTTGACGTTTCTAAGGTCGTGTTTCGTGCTTTGACCCTTTGCTCTCCTTCAGCTTTGCCAGATTTAGGTCCTTACACCCGGAGCAGTGAGCTCCGGAGGATTAGCGGCAGGTTGCGCCAACTGCTGCCTGCTATCATTTACCATGTAGGCGGAGAAGCCTCTTACCTCCTGGCTGCCCAAGGCACCAGGATTTTAGCGGCATCCTCCCAGTTTCGCGGTCCCGCCTCAGTGGCAGCAGGACTCTGGCCCCAGGCCTCTGCGTTCTGCCCGACCAAAAACAGCTTCCAGTCTCGCTGCATGGGCTGACTTCGTAGGGAACGTGCAGTCTATAGTGTCCTGCTCCTGAAAAGGCTTTTGCACATGTTGCCCTCCTTCGTAGCGTCGAAGGCGGGGAAGAGTGTGGGCACTTCTCACGCATTTGCCGGGCGTTGCCTTCCGACTCTCGGTGTCCGGCACACGGAGGGTTCGTCCCATGTTTCGGAGTCCTTACAAAGCGAGTACAGTAGAGGATTCTAAGCGTCCCCGACTTTCTGAAACTCCCATATGCCAAAACGGCCAGCCTTGTCTACTGTAGCCAGGTGCAGAGTCGCCTCAGCTCCGGTATCTCGCCGTGAGGCCCTTGGGGTTCCCGTGTTCACTATGAGCATCAGCGCAGGAACCTAGGCACCTCCTAGCCTTGAAGGCGCTTGAAAGGATTCTGCAAAGTGGCAAAAATGGCGAACTTACTTGGAGGTGCAATGATCGCCCTGTTGCTCTACTTCCGGCCTTCCGTCCGACGCCGTGTCCTCAGTAGTGTTCTGGTTAGTCTTGCGAGCATCAAGTCTATCGTCAGGCCTTTGGGTCCTCCTGGTGCTAATTCTGACAACTGTGACCAGCATCACTCCTACGACTTATCGCTAATCATCATCGCAGTTCTTATCATGGGCAGTTCCGTCACAATTCTGCGGCATTCTTCCTCTCAGCAACCCTATAAGACTCCTCTGGCATCTGGACCCTAAACCCTCTTCTTGGGGCGCATGGGCCCCGAAATCTCAGGCACGATGTGTATCGTGCGGAGCTCGAATTTGCCGAGCCTGGCTTCGCCATCGACGCCGTCCCCGCAGAGGCTTGTCGTACCCGTATAGTTGGGTTCACATGGGGCGTCTGGGGGTTCTTGTACTTGGGCCATCACTTGGGATAGCCAACGGCTTTGCAGCCAGAGAAGAGAGTGTCGTATACTAACCCTTATAAAAACTAGGGGTTCACGGGGCATCAGAGGTTTCTCATTATATTCGGATTAGCAGTTTAGGATTTAGGCCATGTAGGCTTCAGTGTTTAGTGTTTGGGTTTTCGTCATGTGCTTCAGATGCAGAAGAAACGCCTCACAAAAAGTCCAGGCTGGGATTGCAGCGTGGCTCATTACGACTTTGGCTCCACGGATGAGCTTTGTTTTCGGCCCTGTGGGGTATCGATGTTTGTTTATACTAACATCCGATCTAAACTCGCAAAATGCCTAAACCCTGAACCCTCAATAGTCCTCAGTAAGTGTTTGCACCATGCACTTGGGCAGGGTTCCGAGTTCGGCAATGCGGATGAGTTCTCTTCCACGAAGTTGGTCGAGCCAGGCATGTTCGAGCCCTCAACCCTCATACTCAAACTATTCCAGCAAACTATTCCAGCAACTGTTATTCTTCGTGGTTAGCTTGTGATGATGGTCATGAGTCATGATCATGATTGTGTTTGTTCTCGTTGTTGTTGCTGTCGTTGCTGTCGCTGTTTTGTTTCTGCTGCTGTTCGTGGTTGTGGTTGTTAGTGTCGTTGTCGTCGTGTTTGCCGCTCCGTTTGTGGTTGTGATGGTTCGTGTTATTGTTGTTAGTAGTGTTGATGATTATTGTTGTTGTTCTTGTTATTGTCTTGCTGTTGTTCTGGTTCTTGTCTTGTTATTGTCTTGTTACTGTTATTTTTATTGTGATCATTATGGCTGTTCCTGTTCCTGTTGCTGTTGCTGTTGGTGGTGGTGGTGGTGGTGGTGGTGGTGGTGGCGGTGGCGGTGGTGGTGGCGGTGTTGTTTGTGTTGTTGTTGGTGGTGATGTCGTTGGTTGTTGTTCTGTTTCTGTTGTTGTTGCTGTTCTTGATGTTGCTGTTGCTGTTGTTGTTGCTGTTTCCCTGCTGAACCGGTTTCTTCCCGACACAACACCGACACTTCCTCAGAAGCACAAGAAAAACCAAAACTAACAACATGCATGAACAATATACACTGCAAAACATCGTCTTCTGTACCAAAAACGAGTGCGTCCACCCCCTCTCTATATTGTTGTTGCTGCTGCTGTTGCGGTTTTTGTGCTTTTGTTGCTGTTGTTGTTGCTGTTCCAGTAATTATTCCGGGAAATGCTGTCGCTGCTGTTGCTGCTGCAGTTTTCCTCGTCGGCGCGGCAGCTGCCCCTCGTGATGCTGTAGCAGCTGCATTTTCCTTACTACGATGCCGTGTTAGTGCCGCTCATACTACTACTCTTGCAAGTGAGATGAGCCTGACAAAAAGACATCATGAAGCGACATGCCACCTAGCTTTCCTCTAGTAAGCAGGACCAGCCGCAGTTCTCGAAGCCGGCAACACGATTCTGGATCAGATTGTTCGTCATTCCGATCCTTGCGCTGGTGCACAACCGAAAACAGCGCAGATCACGCGAAGATCGCCGAGGTTTTGCGACAGCTCCACTCCCGCGGCAAAAGTCGTTCTGCCAAAGCGCATGTAGATTCCTGCAGCATTGTCCAGCTGTACGTCCCACGGCGTTGAGCACTTGGAGTGTACCGAGCAGATGATGACGTTGTTGCCTCAGGCTCCAATCGAACCCCAAAACCTCAAGATCGAAGGGACGCTCCACACCCGCACAACCAATCAGTGTATATATATATATATATATCTATATATATATATATATATATTAATTAATATTAACAGTAATATTGATATGAATATATATATATATATACATATATATATATATATGCAATGCTGTCATCAGTGTTCGACCTTCCCTGGCACAATTGCTGTCGCTGCTGTTGGCATGATGATGGCGGTGACGATGATGATGATGGTGGTGTTGAGGATCATGATGATCAGGATGATGAGTTCGGTGCTGCTAGGTGCTGCTGCTGGCTTCATACTATTGATTTATACATATTTATACTGGTGTTGCAACATGGAATGCTGTGACTACTGGACGTCAAACGGGAAATCTCAGCACTTCGTCGGCATGGTGGTGAATACTCTCGCCAGCTGCCTGCTTTGTTGTTGATCACGCTTGCTCCGAAGCCCACCCAAGCGGCTGATGGTGTTGAACATCTCGTTGCCATCTTCAACATATACGCCTCCCGAACGGCACTACTGGACGGGATGGGAGGTAGGGACTGGGGGCTACAGGAACAAGATCCGAGTCTGAAAAGCATCCAAAACGCCTCTCAGGCCAGGACCCAAACAAAAAAATCCTGGCTCGCAAGACCTCAACAATAAGCGCATAGGCCGCTCAGCCCTGCCTGCAGAGGCTGTATCCCACATAACATTGCCCTCAACGAGGGAGCGGTGAGTGCCTGTAAGCCAGCGCTGGGACCCTTCAGTTCGTCGGGAGTGCAGCGTTGGGATGCGTCATTCCGTGACCCTTCGAACTCGCGTCCAACACCCTGAACACCCTGACTGGTTGAGAATACCATGCCCACAAGCCAAAACCATAACTAAGCGAGACTACCCTAAAACCCGTAAGTCAGGATTGCCCGTGGAAAACCCCCAAACTCTCAACAAAACACTGGGCCATAGCAATCCAGGGCGCCATGGACCGTAATTCCAATCTGCGCAGACCTTATCAGAGATGCTTCGCGTGGTTAGGAATGGCATGGTATACCGTGTGTATTCTCGTTGTACCGAGCAGAAAACGAGCATGGGACAGCATGGGGGATATGTACTGATACTACTGCAAGGTCGTACGTTGTCGGGTGCGATCAGGACCCGACGCATGGCAGAAGAACAACACACAACCAAAGAGCATGAAATCTCAAGGTGGGAAGGCGTCACATAAGCGGCCACGAGCACAATAGACTGCTACCCGTGCAGAATTTGATGTCATGCCGCTCGTGCTTAAAGTGCCACCTTGGCTCGCACCTGAATGCAGTCTGTTTTGCACAGGTCGTTTTTCTTGATGAGGTCGGTCCACTTTGCAGTTGCCAATGCTCAGTTCTAATGTGCAAAAACGTACCCTGCAATTGTATAGGTGTGGCTGGATGCCCCAGCCAAGGTGTACTGAGAGGCAATTTTGTCGCTGGCCAAGTTTTCAATGGGCTCGAGTGCCGCCAATCTATGCTGGCACCCTCTAAGGCCTTCTGCGCCTCCGAGAACTCGCCATCTCTCACTTTGAAAACTAAGCCGTCGCGATTCATGGGCTTCATGTCTGTTTTGTGCACCTATCTTGAGCCTTGGATTCGATTGGACTTTGCTCTGACCTTTGAGAGCAATACAGTCTGCGTGCATCAAACGGGTGTCCGCAGCCCAAGTGTAGTTGGAGGTGAAGGCTTCGTCTGCATGTGAATTCGGGATCACGCGCCTGCACAAAGTTTCGGCGAATTTTTCTGGTGTCTCAGCCAGGCCAGGCTTCGTATGATTCGCATGCAGTGTAGATAACACACACACACACACACAAATCAAGGTTAAACACGCAGTGCGACCGATCAAATCTGCCACGAACAAAACAGGACAGCCCCACAAACTTTTCACTAACTCGATTCACCGGCCAGGAGGCTGGTACACAGCGTTGCCCTTGAAGGTACAGTCTGGGCATTGCCCGGCATGGTGGAAATGGAGACAATACTTGCCCATGAAGTTCCGCTGGCCGCCTGCCGTGCGACATGAAATAATGAGGCCACTTCTGCACATCCAGTTTCAGAATTTAAGCCGGAAAAGATCCCAAGCCGGATCTTGATGAGTGAGTTGACAGAGTCTTCTGGCACTGCTAGATACGACTTTCAAGCGCGACCGCACACCAGGAGGTTGGGCCCAGCTGAGTTCTCCTGCTCTGGGCTTCCGGCAGTACTCCACACGTGCAAAGCGGATGTCCATGACACCCCCGTGGGCGCTGATGGTGTGGAGGCCTGGCGCTGCTACTGGCCGCTTTCAATCTCTTCGCTTCTCTCAGATGTAGTCGAGAGTGGGCCAGCCTTTGGCCGAAGTCGAGAAATCGTAGTGATCGCCCGTGATCACGACAGAACGCTGTAGGTTCACCTTGGCTTTGAACATTCCAGGGTTGCAGCAGCCGTCCAGGGTCTATCGGGCCTATCCAGCTTGAAGCCTGAGTCTCTGCTGGAGTCACTGTGCTGCTGGGTCACCACTTCTGCAGCCATTTCAAGCCAGTAGCCCTCCACCTGGCTGTCGTCTTTGGTATTCCGGAACGGGTCGCTTCGAAGCTCCGGGCTTCTTGGTTCAAGTGCTGGCAGCTGCAGGAAGACTAAGAAGCATCAGAATCAGCTTCTGGAGTCTGAAAAACCCTGAAGGTGGCACAGCCCAGCCCTAAAGCCTAAAGCAACGGTTTACGATCAGAGGAGCCTCTAGTAAGAATCTTTTAAGGCAACTAGGCTCGGAGGCTCAGAAGGTCTGAAGTCAGATCGGCCTGACGGTGGCCTCCCCAGTGATCTGCTTCAAGCGGAGTGTCCAACTGCAGCACCTCGGAGGGCGTGTTCTGTATGGGACAGGGTATAGGCCCCATTTTTTTGGGGGGAGGGGGGGGGGCGGCTCTTAAGCTTACAGCTATGCTGAAGGGTACCTTATCTAGGGGCCTACCAAGAAGGGATCCCACTGCAAGGGTCCTACAGTAAATCATCCCTCGGCCCNNCCCCCCCCCCCCCCTCCCCCCCCACTCCAACGTTTGGCAGCCGACGTTGGAGACCGTGGCGTTGACCTCCTTCCCATAGGCGCGGATCTCGTAGAGCCAAACTCCAGCCCAGGCAGGATGCCACTCGTCGCGTCGGCTCCTCAGTGCTTGGGAGTCGGATAGTGGTTCTGTTTGTAGATCTATGATCTATGCACCTGCAGCTGTACTTTTTGTGGTAGGAGGATAGTCGTAATCGTTGTGCGGGCAGCTCAATGAACCCGAAGCTGACAACCTCCAAGCCGAAGTCCAGCCGAAGCGCAGGCTGTTGTAGTCGGCGGTGACACGAAGGTGTGTGCCGAAAGCAGGGATGCCCATTGATACTTCCTGGTAAGGCTCGTTTTGGCTCGAGGATGTATACGGGGTACGGCATGCCGCAGAGTGATTCTGGTGTCACCTTGCTGGCTGATGCTTTGCAGGTGCTTTTGGTACGAGTAGTGGTACTGACTCGAAAACCCCAGCCGCCCTAGCCCAGTGTCCTGCCAGCCGCCTCCCTTGGCTTCATGCCGGACCTTTCGCGAACAGTCCTGGAAGCTCGAGGAGGTTTGGGCTTTGGGCACCGACAACCCGGAAAGCCCAAATTCCTCCGTCCCAGGGCCATCGCACACGGCCACCTGCAGCGGATTGAATCTAGGGCCTGGGGGCTCTAGAGTCTTCAGGCTGAAAGTCTGAAGATTGGGGGCTTCAGTCGCAGCTCTTCTGGCTTCTTGATGTAGGTGTCATAGCAGCCAGCCCTGTGCCCCCAAGAATGAGCGATGACATGGCCGAAGAACAACCCGAGAGTTCGAACTGCACGCTACAGCTTCAAATAGGATTACAAGCTCATAGCACAGCACAAACCGCCTCCTCCATGAACAACAACAATGGCAACGGCATCGCCACGACGGCCACCGCCGCCGCCACTACAACCAGCATTGACCATGAACCCCGTCGTGGCGGAAGCAACAGTAGCAGCAGCAAGGCAGCAGGAGAAGGAGCAGCAGGAGCAGCGGAGTGGCAGTGACAGTAGCAGCAGCAACAGCAGCAGGA